ACAGACAGAAACAATACTGTACTACATCCATGTGTGCTGTCGGCTCAGTGTTTGAGTGGACTTTGCTGTTCAGATGAGCACGAGCGGTACACGAGTGGAGCGACTGAGCGGAGCGCACACACAGAGCGGATAACACGTTGAGCCGTGAACAAATTTTCGGCAGCATTTCAGTGCATCTCTAATTATTGGCGACATCTGAAATGGATATTATATAATAGCTGCTTTTATGAACATTTTAGCAATCTAAAAATATAAAAAAAGATTTTTTACACAGCACCCCTGCTCGCGACAGACGGCACCCCGGTTGGGAAACACTGGTCTAGACTGATTTGATGAAGCGTCTAACCTTGCATAGATTTTGCACTGCTGGTGTTGACCATGTACAATTTTGTTAAAGGGGTCATATGATGCGATTTCAATTGTTCCTTTCTCTTTGGAGTGTTACAAGCTCTTGGTGCATAAAGAAGATCTGTAAAGTTGCAAAGACTAAATTCTCAAATCCAAAGAGATATTCTTTATAAAAGTTAAGAGTCAGCCACGTCTACCTAAAACGGCTCGTTCTAACACGCCCCCACATGTCTACATCACTATGTGGGAAGATTTGCATAACGCCGCCCAAATGTTCACGCAAAGAAAGAAGGCGTAACTTTTAGTCTCGCTGTAGTATTGTTGCTGCCGCCGCCATGTCGTGAAGACGCTGTGTGCTTCGTTGTGAAAGCGAAACTACTTTGTCTGGTCTTCCAAAAGAGGACACGACTACAAATCATTGTCAACCAAATCAACCAAACAAATAACTATGCGGAGGCTGCAATGCGTGTCTCGAAAGACAAAATACTTCAAAAGACAAAAGCATTCAACCTGCCTTTCATCACCCGACTAGAGATGCACTATGAAGCACGTGTGACAGACGTTACACTTGGCCATCGGTCAGAATTCTTTGCTACAGAAAGTAATATCAAAGCATCTCATATTTCTCAGGTAAAATGTAACTTTTAAATATGAATCATTATAAAATTGTTGGTGCTTTTTGCAAATGGCTGTCTCTCAATATGTGTTTTTCAGTCTTGTGTTTTCATAATGTCATCATCAACTGTCACTAGTACAGAGGACACATGACAATTCTCTGATGTAAAAAGACACACATTTCATAAAGTGCTAGAGACTTAGAGAAAGCCTGCAGTACTTTTTATTGGTATATTAAATAATCAATAATATTCTTCTTCTTCTTCTTCTTTTTTTTATGAAAAAGTGTGTTTTATGGTTAGTCACAATTGTGACCGGTGGGATAATGTGTATACTGAAATGAAATGATTTCTTCAGTCATCAAAATTCATATATATCTCAGCCCAGTTATTAACACATTGTAAACTTTCATCACATTCTATTATACATAAAACCCTGTATACAAGACTGAATAGGTATACTAAGATAAAAACATAAATAGTTATTATCCCAGTGGTCACTATTGTTGCCATCAACATGTTTACTCATTCTATGACCACACTCAACAAAACAGAATGATTGTAAATACATATATTAATACTAGACACCTTAAAGATGATGTGTACCAAAACTCTTTGTCATATCTTTATTAGAATACATTATTAACCTTGTGTTTTGGAGCTTTGTTGCAGCTATCATCTCATGGCGCAAACAGGAAGTAAACTGCTCTGGTCATGTGACAATCTGCACATATTTGACTGAGACCCTTTATTTTGTCCATATTTGCAGGAAATGCACTAAAACATCAGTCAGTGACATTTTTAGAGCTTTATAAATGAAAACATTCTTTAAGGTCACTATTGTTGCCGATGGGATTAAATGGGTTTTAAGGTGAGTAAATGATGACAGATGTTTGGTTTTTTAAACAAATTCTGCCATTAGGTTTTCTTGCTTTAACTTTTTTTGTTCTGAAGTAAATATACTATTGTTATAATAATGGCTTTTTTAATATTTTGTATTTTGAGGGGATCTGCTACTCAACAATATTCTGTAAAAAAACTTTAAAAAAAAACACTATTAGAAAACCCATTTTATACTATTTTTTAAAATAAAGTAAGTACGTTTAAAAAGTGCTGTGACAAGTCTTGGTTTGCCTAACGCAGTATACGTAGCAAGTGTTTTTTTATATAATAGATAAGAAAACAAGTAGATAGACTAGATAATGCTCGTGTTAGAGGCTATTTTCTCTTTTTAAATAAAACAAGTCGTTTTTTTATTTACTTTTTTGCATTTAACTTCTGCTTTCTAGACTGGATCCCTCAGAAAATGTTCTGTATTTTTCCATTTTCTATTAGTTTCCTGTGGATTTCACTTTAGACCCCTAAGAATACCAGTATGTCTATATTTTCAGATCATTTAGCCTTTAGCTAAGTGCTACCAAAATCACCAATCACTTATCAAAAGTAAAAAAACAAACAAACATACAACTAACAACCAGTAAGACGACCAGACAGGTAAACACATGCAATGCGGTGCTTGGGCCACTGGCTGCAGCTGTATTCAGTTGTTTATGTGGATAGACATTTCTGTCACATCATTTAGTTTCAATTGACAACCCTCAGTTTTGTGTCCTGGTCCAAGTGTTTGTTGTTATTTAGTTGTCTCTTCAGTCTCCTGTGAGATGGATGCTGGGACTGCTCGGTGAACTGCTGGAAACTCAGACTACACTGATGCCATGACTGCTTGAAAAGATGCAGCACAACTGATCTCTGCATCATACTGCTGGATTGATGGAGGCACATCAAGGCTTCCATGCAATTGCGGGTGTCCCGTGACTAATTGGCCTTGTTGACGGTACACTTATCCCCATCGCCAACCCATCAGCGCTCGACCAGGCCTTCATAATATATAAACACACACACACACACATATATATATAAGCAACATCCTTAAGGTATAGCCCTGGGCTGCGTTTCCCGATAACGTTGTCTCTTAGCTCGCTACGAAGACTCTAAAGGTATATCTTAACTAAAGGTAGGCCTATACCGGTTCTTGGCGTGTTCCCCGAACTATACCTTAAGGATGTTGCTTAAGGTAACCTTCTTACGTGCGACGTTAGCAGGTACTGTCCATGGCGGTGGTGCTGAATAGATTGATATCGATGGCTCGAGAATCGATTTTTCAATACAGGAGCTCTTTCACTGCGTTATAGAGCGGGTAAAGTGATGTTCATTATAAAGAAACACTTTAGAAAATATTTGAAATTGCATTTATCAATTTCAAACTAAATGCAACCTTGGATATCACACACACATACAGTATATATATATATATATATATGTGTGTGTGTTTATGTATATGTATATGTATAACTTTGCAAGTGTGCGAACCTGCAACCTGTAACGGGGCTGACAAGACGTGAGACACAACCTCATGGCCAAAAGTATTCTGCCTTAGTCAGCTACATTAACTAGCTTTTAGGCTTCGCTTGCTTTTGAAAGAGTCATTTATATTATCATGTTCATATATATTATGAAGGCCTGGTCGAGCGCGGATGGGTTGGCGATGGGGATAAGTGTACCGTCAACAAGGCCAATTAGTCACGGGACACCCGCAATGGCATGGAAGCCTTGATGTGCCTCCATCACTTTGTGCCTGGCCAAAGGCATACGTAGGCTATATAATCGGTAAACACACCCTTTTATTTAAGTTGTAAACATAGCCGCGGGAACGTATTTTGAGCTGGGGGGGCTGAGAAATAAAACGGGGACAAGAGTGATGCGGGAAGACTGACACTATATGATGGCGGATCCAAAGTTAATAAAACTTTCATTTATTCGTTTAATCGCCTATAAGTGAGTGTCTTTGTTGCTGGGTTTTCATTAAAAAAATAACAATGAACCACAAACTAAGCATTCGTTTTAAATAAGGGAAAATACCTTATTTATTTGGGTTACAACGGCTATATCCATCTTATTCGTTTTGTCAATGCGAGGTAGATGTTTAATATATGCGAATTTGCCATTGTACTATTTTATGGCTGATGTGTTTTAATTAATAAGATAATAAACCACAAACTACAAACTTTTTAAGGTAGCCTGAGGGGAAATCCATAGGCTATTTATTTGTGTTAAATGTGAGTAAAACATATCCTTATTTATTTTGTTAATAAAAGTTCAAAATTTAATGTTTTTTTGTTGTTGTTTTTTTCGATTAATATTAACGAGCCATAAGCATGCATTTAAAGTAATGGGAAAATCCAAAAACCTTACATTTATTTGTGTTACAACGCGGGTACATCAGTCTTATTCAGTGGCGTAGCAAGTCAGCACCGGGCCCATATGCAAAAACCGTGTACACTCTTTAATTTGTAGTGAGAATTCGTCTCAGTTCAAGCTGCATATGAATCAATTATATTTTCTTCTTTAATATTTGCAACACGAAATAAACATGAATATTTGAATGCATGTTGAAAAAAATCAGAACAACTTAATACAAACAAATGTCTCACGAATCGATCAATCAGCGTTTTAAAAAAAGTCAAAAGAATGATGGACGCCACAGACTTTTTTTTTTGGAGGAGTAGGCCTATGGGTGGAATGTTCACATTATATAACATTATTGTATTATCTTAATTTTAACTTTATTCTTAAAATATTATGACATTAATTGTATTTATTTAGTTATTTTTAAACATGGCACAAAAATGCTACTGAATGCAAACACAATTTTGGCACATCAGCCCAGAAAACAAACAAACAAACAAAAAAATTATAATAAAATAAAAAACAAACAAAAAAAGGCGAGGGGATATTTGAATTATTTGTTAATAAACGAATGTTTTCTGAGTCAATGTTGACAATCAGGGTATCTTCCATCCATTCCAAATCCGTTTTCAATTAAAAAAAACAGAAAACTAAAAAACTAATCGTTTTTTAATTTATCATTTTATTGCCTAAGTTATATTTTTCTATTCTGCCAGACACATAATCTACTCTAAATAATGGATTTTAGAATATTGGCCTAAAAATGGAATATGACATTTTGATTTTTTAACTAAGCTGTGACTATTGGATCAGAAGATGGTATGATACTGACTGATGGCCAGGGGAATGAAATTCTCGATAGAGGGAACAAAAGGTAACTGCAAAAGATGAGATTGACTACAAGCTGTTTTAAAAAATCACAATGAAAACACCAGTAAGGTCAGAGAAATGTAATGCCAGTTGATTAAAAAAAAAAAAGTTCTATACACCTAAACAATATAAATATGATTTTAAAAATTTGTGAAATTAAGGGTTTAATTCACATAAAAATATGATACACATTAAAATGAGCTGAATTTTTCGGACCCTCAAAAAGTTAAAGAAAAATTATCAGGTTCCGATTGAGCAAAAAAAAGGGCAAAAAGCACATTGAAAGCAGCTTGTTTTGGTGTCTGCATTTTAGTAGTGTTGTTTTCCTATTATAACATTTTCACTTGTTCAATCTTGACATAATTCATCTTTTAAAATACGAATGATTTCCCCAGGGTCAGCTTACTGGAAACAAAATTCTAGGAAGGTTTTTGCTGTGCCTGAACAACAGTTCTTGGATATGAGATCCAAAAGGAGAAGATTAAGGTAAAATAGCAGATATTTGGAGCATGTTAGTTACTAACATGTAACCGACAATATTTGAAAAACATGGTGTGTTTATTGTAACTTCTTTCCTCAGCCAACGGGATGATGACAGCCAGCTACCAGAGGTCTTAGAAAGAATTGAAGAGGAGGTGTTGGCAAGATAATTTAGTCTCTATAAGATTTGTTGATAGCCAGGATAGTATTTTGTGAATTAAATTAATACTTTCCTCTCTTCTCTCTGGATTAAGATCCCAGAAATATTATGAAAAAACTAACAAGTAATTTTCTTTATTTTAAATTTCTAGGGCCCATGAATGATCCTGTTTTTGCAGTTTGCTGTCAGAGTCTCATTGCATGCAAAGTGTGCTTTGACCAGTGGCAGCGAAATACCAACACCTGTGTGAAACGCAGAGGAGACAACTCAAGGGAAAACACCTACAGAGTCACAGGAATTGATGGTGCATTGTCTGCTTTTGGTGATCTTATCAAAGATTAAATACAGTGGGGGAAAAAAGCTGTATACCTGTTACAAGTGTCACACGTTAAGAAGTTTCATAATATGGCACTACTACGGCAGCTCTTTATTAGTTACTGGTGTTTGTTACACGTTAAGAGGAAATATACTCTTGAATATACAGTATAAAAAAAAGTTATTACTGTTCAAGTTATTACTGTTCAGTTATTGACTTAAAAGTGAGAAGCACTACAGGCAGCACTTTTTCTGCTTTAATCAGTAATTATATACATTATATACAATGTAAGTTATATACCAAATATCACTGTTTAAGTGTCAAGTTCAACTTTTGAAGTAAAATGCAGCACTGGATAGCACTTTATTAAAGCTTTAATGTGACAGTTTTATACCTCAAATTACAGCATTGTTTTAATACAATTGATAATGCCTATGTTCAAAAGACTTGCTGTTTATTTTTGTACTTTGTAAAATTATTGTTCACAGAAATATGTAATAAATGTTAGTTTTATGATGAATGTCTTGTTCCTGGTATTCTTAAAGAAACCTTCATCTTCATGAATAATGTCTTGTTACATTTATGAGATGTAATATGGCTTCTTTAAAGGGTGTGAAGTCATAATTTACAGCCTGATCAAAGCACCGTGTAATGTCTGGATAATGATCAGCAAATTCTTCCTCCGCTTGGGCTCTGTCTTCCTCACAAGAAAAGGGATCTGTCCCGAATGCATCTTGCTGGTACATGTCAGCAACCACAGAGGCCTTTGGAAGGAGTTCCTTGGAAATCTTTGCTGGACACCCACCTTCAGCCAAGATGTTTGGTATTCCTTTTCCTACAACAGCAGTACCATAATTAATATATAAACAAGAAGAAAGGTTTAAAAAGGTTGTAAGTAAAGCCAACTCTAGCATGAAATGGCTGGGATCTCGATCATAGAGAGGACACAAAATCTACATGTAGCTTGACAATGGTGCAATTATATACAAAATAATGATTTGTATATAATTTTGTATGTTTACATTGTTACAACCAAAAAAAGAAAATGCATGTTTAGAAATACCTGCAATCCTATGTGCATTCCATGATAGCACAGTTCGTTCAAGCCCAATTGAGGAAACCTGACAAGTGAGATTGGATACACAAAATCTAGTTGTGTTGTCCTCCATGTTGATCACCTCTTGGTCTTGAAGTTGCAGCAGGGCTTCTTTCAGGGGATAGTTGACTCTGTTATTTATTTCTGGCCATATTCGCTCAACTTTGAGGTTCTGTGGATACAGTATCATACTATTTATTTTATTGTGTAAAGAAATGATGGACTTCAGGTGAGGTTTTTAATGTGGCAGGAAAAACGTACCCTTGATGATTTTGTCTGTACATATGGTTGCCTGTTTATATTGTATCTGTGTCTGGACAGCAGCTCTTGGGTATACAGGCACATATAGAACTCTTTTCCATGGTCAACCCGGATTTGATTTTAAATCCGTCTTCTTTTTTCTTCATTTTATGACGGATATAATAAATTGAAAAACGATAAAATTTTTCGTTTTCTGTTTTTTAATTGAAAACGGATTTGGAATGGACGGAAGATACCCTGATTGTTGACTATCCATCCTAATCTGTGTATCATTCGATCATTCGGTTTTTGATTTAATATTGAAAGTAGAAAAATTTGAAAACGGCTCGTTTTTTTGTTTTTTTCCAAAAAACAAAAAACGAAAATTCAGCTTAAATTTTCGTTTGTCGTTCATGGGTGGAAAAATGAATAAACAGCTTGAATATTTGATTTCTACATGTGGGTGGGAATTAAACGCCCCTTTCTGCTGATTGGTCAGCCGAAGATCAAACCGTGCCGTCATCAGTTCTTCTGCAGTATCACGCAGCAGAATAATAGTCCTCTGCTGCTGCAGTTGTATGGATTCTTAACACATTTATTGCAGCTACATTTAATCTTTTTTTGTCAAACAAACAGGCTAATGAATAGCTCAACACAACTCATACCTGGGCAGAGTCTAGACAGGGCTTTCTTCTGTGTCGATATAAATTCTATTCTTTGCATCAGCTGGGCATGGCAGGGTATGATATGACAGCTGTCATAGCCTACCCTGCTCACCAAGTAAGTATGTTTGTTTGTTTAATTAAGAAATTAATTAATTTGTTTCAAAATACATTTTAAACACTGAGACAAAAAGGAAAGAATAATAAATTGGCTTGGATATATACAAGCCTATGTTCACACAAGAACTGTCATTTTGACTGACAACCGGAGAACAACAGATATTAAATAGCCTACTGTTAGAGTTATATAATGTAGTCTTGTGTTTTATTAAAATTGATTATAATTGATATCTCAAAAGGATATGCACTTGTGC